CAAACAAGAATTAATAATTCCCTACTAAGCAGCTTGTAAGACTGCAATCAAACCCAAGGCAGTACTTTCAGTACTCTACATCCCCACACAACCTTTGTACAACAGCAAACGATTTTCCACTTCCTGTCATTTTCTCCTGGTAACAGGAGAAAATAACTTTTTGGTCACGTGTTACTTGTCGTGTTCGTGTGGCTTCATAAAGACAACATTAGTGCATTTTTAAGAGCATGAAAAATGTGACAAAAACTGAACAAACTCGGGAAACAAATGTTAAACTGGACTACTTTATTGGGTTTGGAAGTTCATTATACTGAATGAAATGTTTATCTACATGCATCATGGCTCAATACTTAACATTAGCACTGCTGCTAACAGCAAGAATACCATTTCTTTGTTTGTAATAGCTGTTTGGTTTGGCTGGAAAGACAATCAATCACAGCTGTTAGGAATGAGGACATCATCTTCCTGCGCTAAAGCCAGAAAAACAATGACAAAAAAATATACCAAAAAACTGCCACTATAGTGGATGAAATCAACGCAGTGTTACAGGTAGTTTGTATGTCAATTTAGAGTAATAAAAACTCTTAAATCTGCATAATCAATTCATTTCACTGATATGAGAAGCATTAGGTTAACTGCTTCTGGCTAACTAGCTTCAATGCCAACTGTAAATGGCGTCAGCAGGACGGATGCGTTGCTGAACAATGAATGGTTAACTAAAGTGCTTTTGTTGCCTAAACATAAAAACAGGACACAATTCCTGGTCTCTCGTGTGACCATCCTGCACTTTGTGCGCGTAAAAATTAGTTGATCAACAGAACATGAATGAACATTTAAATTAGCAAATGTGAAGATTTTCTGCTGTGTTCTGTTTTATGTCACTGTAAATTGAATATATCTTGCAGTAAACTAAACACCTATTGGAAAAGCATTTTTCACTATTTTTCGAGGGGTTTTTGGGAAACCAGATCCACTGAGAGCAATTCTAGGAGCAACTAGCTCTTTATCTTCTGCCAATAAGTATGAAAAAATGGCTGTCCTGTTTGGAATGGTAACTGCTGAGAAGTTAATTCTACGAATGTGAAAGCTTGAGAGAAAAAGATTTTACAGTGGAGATAGGGGAGGTATGTTTGATAAGATCTGGGACCCTGTACTTATATCATTTCAGGCTAAGAGTTAATGTGCTGAGTCCAATGTAAAGCACATGCTCTGTATGTTGTTTCCCTTTTTTATCTCAAATTGTACTGTAATATGTATTTATAATTTGGTCTTTTTAAAGAAACACTACCTCGCACTTAACATATCTGTGACTGAGGTTACTGTTGTTATGTATGATGTGCTGTGTTTGTTTGTGGATTTTTATTTTTATTTTTTAATCTCCTTTTTGTAAGTTTGAAGTTTGCATAGTAAACTTTTTTTTAAAATGCAGAGCAGTGCTAGGCTCTGAATCAGGCTTAAAAAAAAAAAAGGTTTAATATCTTGGGACTTTTGACTTTTGTTCAAAATGAACAAGCGATCTTAAGAAGTCGCCTTGGGCTCTGAGAAATTTTGATGTTTTTTTTGTTTTGCACTAATGAAGAACATTTTGTAAACGTAAAAATTAGTACTAACAATTAATTAATTAATAACCTGTGTCTTAAAGTAATTAAGGACCTATGCCATTGCTGTGGCCATGGCACTGCAGTGCTTCTCTGTGGCCGAAACTTGCTACCAATAAATGGGTTGAATGCAGAGCTCATTGCGGGTATGTGCAAAATTTAAATGGGCTCCAAATCTAATTGTATTGCATCACAGTGCACTTTAACTTTGATGTTACCAACTTTTTATTGCACAAAAAGCCGGCCCTTTCAATCAGGAACAGATGATGTCTTTGAAAGCAGCGCGTCACACTCTAAATTGAGGTGTTAATGCTCGGCAATCATATCCCCCTAGAGGTTTTCTCCTATCTGCTCCGACACAGCCTCACAGCTGCCTCTCGGGGCTTTTCTTTTTCTTTTCTGACGGTGCAGATCCTAATGAAGCCCGCTAATCTCCATCATACTGTCTGTGAACTCGTAACAGAGCCAACACATTAGACACGCTTCGGTTTCAATCACCGCACAACTGAGACAGACGGCCCCTCAGCACGAGTTGTCTTTAGCCCTGTCAAGAAGCGCCGGCTCAGTGTCAATCATCTGACTTTGAATCTTCTTCATGTCACTTTTTTTTTTTATCTCCTCTGTTAGGACAGCATCTGGCTCTAGACTCAGACCATCATGCATCCAAAAACATTTTTTTAGAAGAAGAAAAACATTCATTGATATGACGCCAGCCCTGCCATTGAAACTGCAGCTACAATAACAGCATAACCATCACCGCCGTAATACAAAGCACTCCGGTTAATAGCCTCCAGAATGTGAGAGGCATACACCCCTCAAGAGGAAATGACATCTCTGATCAATGGACAGCAGGTCTTTCACCATTGCTGACTCTGTGCAATCAAAGGGATGCACTCATTTTGAGAGTATAGTGGAGACTGGAAGGCTTCCTACAGCAAAGAGCACCAGCTACCATCAATCCTAATGGTCTATTCATGTGTGATTTGTACTGCAGGATGACTTCTTTCTCTACTAATAAAGACTGTAAGTACAGTAGAGGCCCATGAAGCCTTCTGTTTTGAGATTATTACCTGTGACTGGGCCGGATTTTGTTTTCTCACCCAACTGCAAGACAGTTCGACAATCACGCCCATGTGATGCAGCACCTGGACAGCTCTTAAGAGGTTTGAAAGGAGGCTGCTGCGTTTGGGCTTCTCTCTCAAGCTCTCCACTTAAAGTGCCTTTAGTTGTGTATAACAAGAGCAACACCATGTCTGCCTTCAAGGAAAGACTGGTCAAAATATTTGAACTAGATGAAGGATTTTAGTCGTCAGACGTCTGGATCTTAAATGATCAGAGAAGCAAACGTCAGCTGCAGGTCGGCTCGCAGCCCCTCCAACACCTCTCGTGTCCGCTGAACAAACTCTGAGAAACAGTGATTTTTAACGTGAAACTGCTTTATTCAGTGTTTTATTTATTCACCTGGTAGATGTCTTTCTGCAGGACGGAGAGCTCTGTGGGTAATTCGGCTCCCAGTGAAAACTCTCCTGAACGGTTGACAATGAAGGAGTATAGCTGACTGGAATGATGACAACAACTCCCATGATCCCACACTACTTCATGACATCGTCGTGACACATCTTTTGTTATTGTTTTGATTGAAAGACGCCTAGCAGCAGAAAATGACATAATGTGCATTTAAAAGAGTAAATAATAATAACTTGAAAAACTTTTAAGAGGTTACGAAAGCAAAATGTGATAAATGTCATCTAGATATTACTGTGGTTTCTGTACCGTTTTCTTCAGGTTCGTCTTGTTAATGTGCATTTGTGACAATCTTGATTAAGTTTACATTGTAAGTTATTATGTTTTTTTTGTTGTTTGGCTTGTTTTGTTTTGTCTGCTTTGTTGATATAGTGCGATTCTAATAATTGTTTGTTTTATTTGTTGTTTTTGTGTGTGGACCCCAGGAAGACTAGAGACCACTGTGTGGAAGCTAATGGGGATCCAAATAAAGAAATAAAGAAATCAGCAAATGTAAAATGTGTGTATCTTTAGTATATCCACAGTGCAGCTTTAAACCAGCCCTTTTTAAGACTGATGAGTCAACTGATGTGGCAACCCACTGATTAGCAGACCTTAAAAATGGACGCTTACACTGCATCACTGGTGTGATAATGTCCAACTTCCTAGAGCCAGTAACAACCACTATTTGAGGCTACCATAAATGTCATTGAGTGTTATTAGTGACATACACTCTTAAGACTAAACATCTAAGACTGAATGGGTGTATATATAAATACTGTTACAAAAACTGTGTAATAATTACTGGCCTTGTAAACACGCAGGCAGACTCTCTGATGATGGAAAACCAAATCTGAAACCATGTCGACCTCTGAAAGAGTCTGAAAAACATTTTCTGAAAAAACTGGGTCTTGTACAGTTTCTGAGAAAATCCATTTATATGTAATGCCTGGCTGTTAGCTGAAAATAGGCAACCCATTTAGTAGGCACTTTCCAGTGTGAATGGGTCAATTGTAATGCATATTAGCATGTGTCAATGGAGGGGGCTGTATTCCATAGTTGCAGTTTCTTTCATGCACAGGCTGAAAACAAAGACACGGCACAAAGGAGTCTGCCCTCATGAACAGGATGTTGTCTGCAGCTACATATCTCTCTGCAAGGACACATGGGAGAAAATAATGCACACATGACTTATCCATGTGCCCGGCTGCACTGGGGGCTGATACATTTTCTGCCAGCCACTCAATATTACAGACTGACAGGTGATTGTGAGCGGAGGCAGTAGCTGTTTTTCCAGGATGCGAGAAAAGTGCAGATTTCATAGAAATCATTGAAGAGGTCAGCAGTGATAATCCAAGATTACACGTGGTGGTAATATCTCATAGAGGCCCTGTTATGAATGATCTCTTATGTCCTTTCAGTTTAAAGTGACACCAGGCCATAATATTAGGACTATATCTTTTAATATACTCTTAGGTATTCAATATCGTGTTTAAGTTGTTTGCTCTTTTGCTGTTCTCATTGTTTCATAGTGCTCTATTACATATATAATGCTGGCCTCTGGATTTGATGAGCTTTTTTACTCATTTCATGTTTTGATGAATTGAAGACAATTTCCAAAATGATATGGTGCTTGGAAACATTAAACACATCACTAGAAATCTCTCTAAAAGCCTATTTCTGTTGTGTTTTCTTTGAAAAGCCCAGAATGGTTCAATTATGATATTGTTTGTTTGGATTTTTCCATCTCCAATTTTAGTATTAGAGATGGAGTATTACCCCTATTAGACCACCATACAACTTTATCCCCAGGTATGCTCTCTCATCATCCTCACACTTCATGGTGGCAGCTTAAATATTGATCTTTTTTTCCCTTTCTTTTTTTTTTTTTTTTTTTACCGTCGACGTTCTCCCTGTCGCTGATGTGCTGAAGGTTGCATCCCGTCTCCTCCCTGCTCAGCTCCGACTCCTGGTGGTACGACTCCAGCCTGGAGTGGGCATTTCTGCGGAGCTTGGGGCTGGCAGACACGCAGCAAGAGGTCGTGCTCCCCATCTCGCCCCCTTTATCGACCCCCGGAGGAAAGCTTGCGTGCTATCAATCCTTTCCGCTGAAACAGGAGCTTGATACGACGGGTCACCAACCCCACCGAGCCGGTCACCATAGATCACCACCACCAGTGCGCATAGGGTGCATCCGTATAGCAGCGCCCATGGATCCTGTCAGCGGTCGGTGGGTGTCCGCGGAGAGAGGCTGTCACTCGGGATGAAAATGTCACTTCTACCGGTAGCAGCTGATGTGGATAACGGAGCGTCCTGCCGCCGCTGACTCAGGCATCATCATCATCATCATCAAACAAGACGCATCCTGCTCCGGGCAGAGATGAGCGGCGACGGCCGGGCGCACAGCGATATGAGGATCGGTGTTGTGGCTGGCTGTCAGGGCGATGGACCGTTAGGGAGGGCTGCGAATCCCGAGAAAAAGGTTCCGGTTCAAGTGGGTGGATACAAATGAGAGAGCAGAAAAATAGAGGGGCGGTGACAGAGATGATTTAATGATTTGTTGCTAATGTGTATAGATTATTTAAGATATTAGAAGATTATTAATAATAGTCTATTTCTCCACATTTGGCCTTTCTGTTAGTTTGTCATTAGAAGGTATAATTATATTTATTTTGAAATACATTTTTTTATTTGCCATGTTAAATAAATGAATAATCTATACTTGTATACTGCATTTCAATACAATGTAAATTTAATCTCTATTTGTTTGTTCAATTTGAGAATCTAATGGATAAAAAATGAAATATTCCATCATGAGAATATTAAAGGGTCCCTCTATCACCATGACTTCTGTATCAGATTCAGGATTAGGTTTACAGTAGGGTCAGGTTTTTATAGAGTTAATTCATCTATTTATTAGAAATTGGTAAAAAAAAAAAAAAAAAGTGTGAGAACAATTTAATGGTTCCTCATGAGATGGAAGGGGTCAAAATCTCAGATCTGTCAACTGCTGATCTACACAATTGTAGCTATTACATGGACCAAAGTTGCAAAACACACAAACATTGTAGGACTCAACGCAGCAAGAGGTCAAACTTCAAGGGTCAGATGGATAAACCACAATAAGACACAAGACAACACAAAGGAAAGAAGTCAGACAGGAGCTGGTTTGTTGTTACAGCCCAGCAGAAACTTGTTTCTTCTAGTGTTGCACAGTTTTAAGTTTCCATTGTAGTGCTTTCAGAAGCACTAGACTCGACCATCTTGAACCGACTTGTGGGAAATTGTTTTAAAGCATTTGATTCAGTTAAAATGGTGCCATCTGCTGGTCAACCTATAGTAATGCATTTGTATGGATTTATCAAACGCAAGACAAAATCCCATTGAATAAAAGAGTGAAAATATAAATGAACTCTGATAAAAAATATCAAGGATGACAGCAAATGCTTATATTATAAAAAGAAAAACTGACCACGTTTAAATTGTTTCTGTGGCTCTGCTTTTAAATATTCTGACAGATTGAGAAGAAAGGCTCATATTCAAAACCCTAACTGTGCAATGTAAGCCTCATAATGAACTTGCTTTTTACCAACTCATACACACTGAAAATAATTTTTTTTACACGAGTGTAATAGTTCATACTCGCTTGCCTTCTTTTTGTGCACAAGGATTTAAAAAGTTTTGCACAACATGAATAGTTAAACATGGTGACACCTAGGGAGATTACTACAGTGTTAATATTAAGATCACATGAGACAAATCAGCAGCTGCAACAAGCTCTATATAGTTCCTCTTCCAAACTTTCTGCCATTTTTGTTGCCATTCGCTGAGAGCCTGCAGCTGACCTTACATCCTGATATACTGCCCCCACCATTCATTTGCTTAGTTGCATTTTGTTCACACCGTGTTAAATAGTGAGGATGCACAAAAGGAGCACAGGACATGAAGGGGTAGCCATCATGCACATGCACAATGCTGACTTCAGAGTAAGTATATCTGCAAACGGGTTCTAAAGGGACACAGTATGCTTTAAACAAACTAGGTCATACAAAGCACCTGCTGTCATTACCTCTTGGCTTAGTCTCTGTCTATGAATGTTGTAACTTTTGCACGTCTGCACAGTCTCAATGCAATGAACTGTGCAAACAGGGATCATGGCATACACTTCAACTCAGTTCAATGTATTTGTATAGTGCTAAATCATAATAGACATTATCTCAAGACACTTTACAGGGTAAGGTATCCAGTAAAGTGTACCTTTTCTTTAATACTATTTTTTAGGGTATTTTTGCCTTTATTGTTACAGCACAGTGGGAGAGAGAGAGGAAAGTCAGGGAGAGGGGGGGGCGGGGGGAGCATGCAGCAAAGGGCCACTGGTCAGACTCAACCCCATGGCTGCTGCAATTAGGACTAAACCCATGTGGTGCGCGCTCTACCAGGTGAGCCACCATAGGCACCTCCAGACCTTACTTTATTATAGAAAGAAACCCAACAGGGTGACTCCCTATTAACAGGAAGAAACCTACAACAGAACCGAGCTCAGGGTGGGCGCCCGTCTGCCTCGACCTAGACAGCCTCCTCTCCAGGGCAATTATGGTGTTACACTAGATGAAAAGAGAGCTTGAAAGAGAAGTTCACTTTGTGTCTTAACACACCCTTTCTATCAGAAGCAGGTGGAATGGTCAGGTTGTCTGCTTTTGGATGCAGTAACCTGATTCTGAAATGAGATTTCAGGCTCACTTCATTTGAAGCATACTGAGGTCTTAACAGGGCCTCAATCATCACCTCAACCATGTGATTTTATGGCATGTCAAAGTAAGAGGTGGACAAACTCCACAGCTCCATTACTTGAGTCAAAGTATAGATACTCCTGGTCAAAAATGACTCCAATACAAGCAAAAGTTGAAAGCTGAAACTTTTACTTGAGTTAAAGTACTGGAGTACTTGATTTTAAAAATATTCAAAAGTACTTTTTATGTCAACACATTGTTGTATTGTTCTACATTTACAGAAACCAATGACTCTGAAACAACCTACTGACTGACTCACTGACTGTAGAACCTGGACATAAAAACACATTGAATCAACCAAAGGAGCTATTGTCGTTTTCACATTTCTTATTTTTTAGGCAGTGATGAAGTTTGGTCGTGCTATTCACAGCAAACATTTAAAAGGAAATTAATCTTTATTTATTTCTAAAATTTCAAACAGGGACTTAAGATAAGGTTTGTCATTCCACTAACTAAAAGCTAAGTCTCTAAATAAAATGAATGCTCAAATAAAGTACAGATACTCAAAAAATATATTTAAGTCCAGTGCTCAAGTAAATGTACGCCGTTACTGTCCACCCCTGGTCAAAGTGAGGCATCAACACACCTTTTAGCTGTACTTCTGCTTTAAATGGTCAATACTGTGTTGAGTAGTCTTCTGCAAGCACTCCTTGAATGATTAGTGCATGAAGAGAGTAAAACTGTGAACGGTAAACTGATGGACCTTTTTCAATATGATCGACATTTTAGATATTTAGTCAAAGTTATATAAGTTCTAGTTTTTTTTATAAAAAACTAAAACAACTAAATATTCTGTCTTTAGAGCAGTGCTTCCCAACCTTTTCCAACTCATGGCCCACTTAAAAATCTCAAAAATGTTGGCAGCCCACATCTGACCCCACAACAATACAGAGGCCAAAAAGTTTTCTCAGAGCAATTTTTTACTTAAATGATAATGATCAAACATTCAGGACTGAACTGAAAGCAGCGAAAGCTCAATTTTTCTTTTTGATTTGATTTTTTCCTTTTAATTCTTCCTGTTGCTAACCAGCTTCCCATTTTGATGGTCCAGTTTTTGCCATGGATATGATCTATTAGAGCACAATCATAAAATTGGCTTATCACAGTGATAGGCCTTAATACAGTATGTGTAAAAGAAAATCTAAGGAGATTTTTAAATATTTTTTTATTTTTTATTTAGAAGATCATTTAGTTTTAAAACATTTGAAAACAGTATTTATATATATGTATATATATATATATATATATACATTTTTTCCATGAAAATTGTACTGTTTTGCAAATTATTTCTCAGCCCACTTGCAATACCTTCATGGCCCATCAGTGTGCCCCGGCCTATGGGTTGAGAACCACTGCTTTAGAGAATTTGAGCTTTCTGTTGCAGTAGCGTGTGTTGAACAGCAGAGGTCCTCCCTGACTGCCACAGTGAGGCACTGTTTATGTTGCCAGGGTAGTAGGCTTCCTCTCCCTGCTTGTAGGCCGCCAGTCTCTAGGTGGAAATTTCCACTCCAGCCACACTGGACCAAAGGCCATGAAGATGTTTGAAAGGCAAAAACTGAAATATTAAATAGACTCCCACGCTGCGACTTTTCAGTTCTGGTTTGTTTTTTCAGCTTAAGCAGAAGAGAAAGAGAGGAAATGCAGTGGATTTAGAGTTTAGATAAATACTTACAGCTTTAAACAGCAGCTGACTGGAAACTGACTAATCCATATAGTAGAGCAAAATCCCTACCATTAATTTCTATTTGCTACAATAAAATAAATGGGAATTTCAATGATCCCAGCCAAATGAAACCGTCCCAGTTGATTGATTCTTGATTCAAACAAGTTGAACAGTGCACAAAATATCCAAAAAATCAAATGCTTTCAAATGTCAGTTGAAACAATTCATGTAACATTTGAAGAGAAGCAGAGTGTTGAAGAGAGACTGATGCTTCAGTGTTGAGGAGCCACAAGGTTTTCTGTTCATAAAGAGCCGTTTCAAGGTTTCCCTCAGAGGCTTTCACCTGTGTGTATGTGTGTGTGTGTGTGTGTGTGTGTGTGTGTGTGTGTGTGTGTGTGTGTGTGTGTGTGTGTGTGTGAATAATGTAGGAGAAGGAGAATGAGAGTTTTATGTGTTTATGTAGTGTGTGTCTGTGAAAGATAAAGACAGAAAGCGTGTATGGGTGTGTTGGTGTGTGTGTGTGTGTGTGTGTGTGTGTGTGTCTGAGACAGTGTGATAACAGAGTTGTGTTTGTATAATATGCTTGGATGCATGTGAGACTACAACACACCAGTAGGAGGAAAACAACTAATCCAACTTCAATAAAGAATCACACAGAATTATCTCCTCTTTTATCACCATCAACCCCTTGAAGATCAATGTTTTATCGCCAGGAGTTGCTATGGAAACTACTTATTTCCATGCGCATCCCCCTTTTTAAAAAGTAATTTTATTTTATTGGCTCTTGAAATCTTAGTTGGCTTAATAACATCCTTCTCATAATGCTGTTTTCACCAGTTTCAATTCATTTGTCCGATGTATTTTTTTACAGATTGAAATGCTTTAATATTTGAAAAAAAAATGAATAGGCTATATATAAGCACATAAGCATGTTTTCTGTGACCACAAATTCAGGAGTATTTATGTCATTTATATTTTTAAATTGTATAATTTCATTAGAAATTACACTTGTGATATCAGACAGAGATATTGTGCTACTGCCTTAGACAACACATGGCTGTACATAGAGAGGTAGGAGTAGCTAAAAGTATGCTGTAACGACATTGTATACTTTGGCCTTGATGTCAGTTGTGTGAATATGTTGTGCTGATCACATCATCTTAATAGACTGGCTGAAGTATGAAGTCGGTGTTACTGGCACTGCATTAAATTGGTCCCCCAAGGCTCTGTCCTAGGTCCCATTCTTTTCACCATCTACATCCTGCCTTTAGGTAAATTCATTCAGAATCTCCTACCACTGTTATGGTGATGACACTCAGCTCTGTCTACCCCTACAACCAAACAACCAGGGTAATTTGAGCTTGGAAGGCTCTAAACTACCTCCAGCTGAACCAGAACTAATCAGAAATTGTTCTTTTTGGCTCCCAGGACTTTGATTACTCTGTGTTGATTGTATTTAAGTTGATGTTGTACAGCACTTTGGTCAGCTGTTTGCTTTTTTTAAATGTGGTCTTTGAGTAAATTTGATTTGATTTGACTTGTATTGGGTATATACTGTATATATGGTCGAAATTATATTCTGATTCATGTTTTTGTTTCATAAAAAGCATGACATGAGAAGCACTGAGTGAGAGAAAGTGTATAAAATGACAAATGAGATGTCAAAATAACTAATAATGATTCAATAAATAAAACTGTACCTTACATATATACATACTTTGTACTCTTTCATTGATTTTCATTCCTTTTCATACAAAACATTGAAGATATTTAAGGTACAGTATTTAAAGAGCTCTTGGTACCAAATCGAGGCAGGACATTTAGAATGCAAGAGCACTGGGTAATCAATAAGTCACGATCCAAGTCACATTTGAATATTTTATTAGATAAACAAAAAATAGTTTTGGTTTTTACAATTCAAACAAGGAAGTACACTAAGGTAAGGGGTGGAGCCATTTGAAACAGCAAAAAAAAAAGAAAAAAAGAAACACAAAGTCAACTGATATCAGAGGAAACCTGAATTTTATCATCACCTGCTGTAACACAGAATTTAACAGAAAGGACATTCAGTTGTGAAAACACACCTGGTCATTTGGGTGGTGAATATGAAGACTGCCACAGGATGATTCATTATGTTGTTACTGAGCTAAGTAGTTAAATACCTAACTGCTACTTGAACAGCTTTGGCAGCCAAAAGGAGATGGTCTGTTACGCAGAGGAGTGCTCCTCCTATCGTCATCTACAGGCCGGACAGTAAAGAATATTCAATGGAACAAACTCACCAACTACATCAGCTGAACCAGAGAAAGCGAGCACTTTTCCATACCAGCAGAAACATTAATACAAGATGATATATTATAATTCAAATAAAACTACTTTACATTAAAAAAAGAAAGGAAAAGAGAAAATAAAAGAAATTGGCATCACCCTTTAAACAGAGCATTTTAATATCCAGCCAGAATCAAATACAGTTTTATTCCACAACAGATATCCATGATTTGAAATAAACAAAACTGACGCAGTAAAGCACAACAGTTACTCTTTGAGCTTTTTCTTAAGAAAACTGAGGTTTTTCAGGAGAGAATTGACAATTACACTTTTTTTTAAAAACATGTTGAATAGGTAACATTTGCTTAGTAGAATATATAAACGTGTGGCATGAAATTCTTCAAATAAATGTAATAGAATATAAATCTTAATAATATCCACACTGACACTTTGGTACGTTCTGTGCTTTTGACTAAAGAACACTTGTGTTCTGTCACTTCCAAAACTGCAATCAACTCACTTCAGTGATGAAAAATTAGGTTTTCATTCATACAATGCCTCTCAACATATATATTTGAAGTTCTGATAAACAGCCAAACATAAGAGGATTTTCATCTTTTACTTCACTGGTATTTCTTTAAAAAAAAAAAAAAGACTTTTTGACCTAATAAAGAGTATAAACAGGCTGATGAAATCCAGGAAATCACTTCACCGACGAAACGTTTGAAGACGTTTCCCCTTAATTGTGTTTTTGCATGATGGAGGAAAGCATGAAACGACTAGGAAAAGAAGCGTAAATTACATATATGACATTATCAGGTAAACATGGTAAGAGTTGCCTGGTTGCAGCTGGTGGTGGATCTGCGTAGCTAGTTTTTTTTTTTTGTGCACTTCGTCTGACCTCAGAGAAACTTGCTGGTAGCAAGTCCTGGCTGACCTGCTGAGGTTTTTTTTTTTTTTTTTCGTAATCTCTGTCCTTGAGCGGTGCATTTTCAGGAAGCACCTGTATTTCCTCTTCCTGTTCCTCTTCTTCAGCTGGTTTTCATTGGCTGGCTTCGCACCATGCACAGCAGTAACAGCAAGCATAGTGTGTACGACACTTGAGTCTTCAACATGCAAAAGGGCACAAGATAAGAGACAAGAGCGAAACTGGCAAGCTCAAGCTATTCGAATTCCCCGGGACACTTCTTGAATTCGGTGTAAACCAGGCCTGAGTGAGCAGAGAAACAAAGACGGTCAAAGCAGTTTTTGTTCCAGAGTCTTTTCTTTTTTTTTTCATTTTGCTGTAGCAGTTTGTAAACGGCACTGTCATCAGCCCGTGACCACAAACAGCCGCCGCTACTCAGCTTTGTGGCAGTAAATGTCCTTCAGTGCTTTCAGCTCTTCAATCAGGGTCTTGTTTTGGTTTTCCAACACAGCCACGCGGTTTTCCAGACATTTGACGTACTCTTTCTTTTTCCTGCGGCACTCACGAGCTGCCTCCCTGGAGAGGAAAGGAGCAGGAAAATAGGTTTGAGTCTCTTGATGAAAATGTAATTTAGGGGTCCAGACAAAACGTAAGCTATGCACAATCCAAGACAGCAGATGTTTTTATGGCTGTGTCCTTCTTGTATTATTAGCAAACTGCTTCCATATTTCTGTCCAGACAAACATTCATTTACCTGTTGCAGCATTTCTCTATCAAACTATAAAGAATCAAGGGGCGCAGAAACATTTGCACATCTACAGAAGAATATGCTGCAGCCTTGACCTTTACACCGCTTGTGACTTGTCACTCTGGCAACACAAAGTTTTAATACCTCCAGACTATCACAGCTCTGTCAGAGTTTCTAACTCCATGAAGCCCCGGTTGAATCTTTTCATTTCAGTGCATGAACTAGGAAATCATGGTTGTATCTTAATCCAAAAAATAAGAATCAACCGTTTAAGGCTTATTTCATTTCCAGAAACAGTTACATACTCTACAAACCCTTCTCACTTCCACGGATAGTTTTCTTGTTTAGGAACTTTAAGGGTCAGTATTGGGAGATTTCCCAAAACTGACAACTCGATTACTATGTTTTGCTACTGACACCAGCTCCTACCTGTTTTTCATGAGTCTGACCTCCCTCTTGCGGGTGATCTCTTCGGCGTGCTGCGACGAGGGGTTCTGCATGGTGCCCGGGGACGCAGCCATGACAATGCTTTGAGACAGGCCCGAGTTGGGCGAACGCAGCTGGTAGGCAGGGATGTCTCCTGTGGCAGCTACGTGGGGGAAGATGGACAAAAAGCATTAGAGCTCCAAATTCTGTTTACTTTTTGCGGCCTGTATTCCTCTTTTGTAATGACATATTCTCAATGAAAAGGAAACAATGACTGATCTTTACAGTTTTTATTAATTAACGAACGTCAATCACAGTCAAAGTCAGTTTGTTCACATTTCCCCTTAAAATAACAGTCAACACTCCTGCATTTCATCAGAGGATGTTAGACAGCAACTTCAGCCAACAACATTTATTCTCTCCTTCCTGTCTAAAAGGAGAATTTCCACTGACCATGACTGTCCTACTGAACATGTACTTGTTCTTAAATGACCTGACTTGTTGGCACATGAGCTTTGAATGTTTTTTTTGTGTGTGTGTGTGGGGGGGGGGGGGGGGTGTTCCCATTTTTGTTCCCTGCTGGCCTTTAAAAATCTTAATGTGCAGTCGCCCCAGTTCAGTGTTTCAAAATGAGCTGGCATATTGTTGATTATTTCATCCACACTCACACAGCTGGTTGAATGACAGCAGACGAGTGAAGTAAATTAAAATAGCCGAATTACACTTATTTTACTTATTCTGTAAACAGCATTCGTGAAGAGAAATGTGCACTCATCAACAAATTATTATAATTTCTTGTCATTAAATGATGCATTGTTTGTGTGTAGAAAGGATATGACGCCTTTCCTTTGTGTGGAGTAATAAGCAAGTGGTAAGGCCTCTGTGCAGCACAGCAGGAGTCAGAAGTGTTTTTTTTATGCACGTAACTTGTGCTCTTGAATTATAAATTGTACCCCAAATTAGTAATTTCTTCTCTTTAAGTACTTAATTCGTGAGCATGAATTAGTAATTTATACTCTAGGATTATTGTCAAGTGGCTGTAACTGCAGAAACTGAGGATTTGTGTTGTTGTTGATTGTCATTCTTTTTAACATTTCAACATTTAGTTGCTATCAGTTAGGTGCACACACATATGTAACTGTGTAGCCTAATGCAATGCAAAATAAACAATTATCAGTCCATAGTCTAATCTAGATAAGGTGCTTAGGTGTAATGCAGATTTGTAATACATGGACATGCTCTGGACTTGTTTACTTACTGTGTATCTTAGACATCTCTTAAAGGTCCCATATTGTATAAAGTGAGATTTCCATGTCTTTTTTATAAAGCAGGTCTAGGTTCAATATTAATACTGTGAAAGTATCAAAGCACTCAGTCTACACAGAAATGCACACAGCTTGTATTCAGAAACTGAGCCTTAAAACCAGCTTCTGGAACTTTGTGATGTCACAACAAATCAGTCACTGCCCTCAGCCATGCCCCAAGCCCCACCTACATGGACCCACCATCCAACCTTGGAGGATTTGGTTTCTCTTAGTGTTTACCTGAAATCTGCTATATTTTTATTTGATTACTCATAAAACAGTAAGCCAATCAGAAGAGAGGCTTTGAGCCTCCTCTCTTCTGATTGGCTCACTGATCTGTTGTTATTAGAGCTCCAGAGAGAAGCCTGAGAGAGGAGATGTAAAACTACATTGAGATGGTTTTTGGTTATTAAAACTACAAAGCATTGTTACATTATATTACATATCAAATAGATTTTCTTATGGATATCAAACCTTCAAATGAAACACAGGAAAAGTTTCAATATGGGACCTTTAAACATACAGTAAAATATTAACACTGGTTAACATTTTGTTCTGTTAATTCATGCACATATATTATTAACTCAATGGATATATTAAGGCTTTGTGTGCACAAATAAGTTTTGCCTTACAATTTCACTTGTGTGTGTGTAAGTGATGTTGTGTTAACCATAATACAAACCACTGTGTGTCTTACTGATAACTGGTAATTTATTGTATTTGTCAGTAAAAGTGGTGCCAATTCTAGAAAAAGCAGCAAGGAGCAGCTTTCTGGATGTGGTTTCTGTGCTGTCTGAGTTGACTCATCTAAAAGATGACTCAACTGTTAACCACTCTGCCTGTTCTCTCTCACCATTTCAGTTTCTCCTTTTCACTTTGTTCCTGAGAAGTTTACGTCTTCTCCCACACACACACACACACACACACAAACACACAACAGACACAGCAGGTGTAAACACACGCACACATACACACACACACACACACACACACACACACACACACACACACACACACACAGAGCGTCTGTATTTTTCTCTCTCATTGTGATAACACAGTGACTCGCGCTGTGCTGACGTCAGTGTGTGCGTCTTCACTCGCCCGTTTTGCATTCTCTCTTCCCTGCCTGGCTTCTCTTCCAGGAAACTGGAGTGACGTCAAACAGACGACTATCTTACCCCCCTACTGCCACCCGCCCCTTTACTTCTTACCCCCCCCAGCCTCCCTCCCCGCGTTTCTGCCTGACAACCACGGGAGTAGGTCAGAGAGCGGACTGTGTGTGCGTGTGTGTAACAGCGGGATACAGACTGGCAGGAACAGAGTTGAGCAAACCAACCAAATGCTTATTGGTTTGTTAGATCTCTCTTTTTTACAACACAACCCTTTCACAAGTGTCAGGGTTTTTCCTGTGTTGAATTGGGAAGGAAAGCTATCGAACATGTGGCAAGTTTCCTGCTCAGTTTCACAATGCATGAAGTAGAAGTAATGCAAAATGAATCCAAATTGCATCAGTGTTACTTGGGAAGAAAAACATTTGTTCTAAACAGTTGGATAATTAAAATATTTGCCTGTGCAGTAGGACAAATAATCTCAAAATTATTCTATTCTTTTCATTCAATTTATCTGCAGGTGCAAACTTATAAATACTTAAAATCCTTATAGGAAAACACACCCGACAACATACCGACAATACATGCATGAACATGTCACTAAAAGGCAGCAAGAACAGATGCAGATTTTGGACATAACACATAAAAAAATATGTATGAGAGAAACTCTACCTGACTCAGTCTCATCCCCAGTTACAGCCATCTCTCGTTTCCAATAATCCAGCACAACGGCAGCAGAACACCTCCACACAAAAACACACTCCTTTACCCTTATTCCTCTCTGCTGTCACTAGAGCCTCTCTCTTTCTCTCTCTCTTTCTCCTTCTCCCTTTTCCCTCTCAGCTCTCTCTGCATCAGAGTGGTCACTCGCCAACTTTGCAGCCCGATTACAATTACAGGCATTGACATCACAATGACATCACTCCTGCCCGCTGAAGTCAGTAAAATACCCTGGATTAGAGTTCCTCCCACCCTTCCCCCTCCCCCCACCCTCCCGCGGATCAGACGCCGAAGTAGAGAGAAACACAATGTGAGCTGGGCAGGCAGGCAGTCAGGCAGGGAGGGAGGGAGGGAGGCAGGGAGGGGGAGGTTGGTTGTGGAGGGGTTGTATTTTTAGCACCAGTGACGCAACTAGAGAGACGCTCAACAAACAAGAGGATATTGTGTCCCAAGTGGCTGCCGTGCAAACTGTTGAGCACCCTGATTGGACTTATTGTGTGTGTGTGTGTGTGTGTGTGTGTGTGTGTGTGTGTTTGTGTCTTTAAAGAACAGAGGAGGGACGACAGAGGGAATGAGGACAATTGAGGTTTTACATTATTTGTGATTTGTATGGGATAACAACATGTCCCCTGCTCATACTGCTGAATTCTGCCCACACAACGGTGATTTAACCAAGCCTTTGAAAATATAATACCAAGTTGCCGGATGGGAAAAATCACGGCACGCAGGAAGCAACACACTTCCCATTTCCAGTCACCAATAAAAAAGCGGAATAAGTGGGCTAATTGCTTTGAAGGAAGAAAAAAAACTAACCCTTCTCTAAGTGTTGGTTTGACATTATAATCATGAGCCAAATGTCAACCTCAGCTTCTGAAGTATTTCAACAGAACATGGTCGCTGAGGTTTTGATGGTGTTATCTTAAGACGTAAATGTCAATGAGCAGCCCGCACTGACATATTCACAGATCTTAATGACAACATGAAAACCCTGACTGGATCTGAAGAAAACAAGCACCATTATTAAGATGTCAGTAACAGTACATACAGTATGTGGACTATTCAGCAGTCTTTGAGCATATGACCTGACTTTCTCTAAAGACATGAACAGATTATCTACTGTTTTAGACAGGAATTGACTATGTGCGACTGTGCTTCAGTGTTAGTTTGTTATGCAATTTGACCATAGTATCTGAACACTGTCATTCCCATCTGATTGTAAATTTATGGCAAACACAGGGGCAAAAATTCAACATTACATTTGTGGTTCTTAAGCTTACTGTTAATATTGCTTTCTTAAAATAATTGGCTGTCAACAAAAAACCTAAGTGACTCACTAGGTTTAAAATGGGTTTTTACTATATCTATTAAAATGAAACATTGCTTTTAATGGCCTTCTACTGCATTCCATGCTTGTCCACTCTTTGATGCATTTTTCATGAACTAGCACAGTACTGAAACTTGCTTGAATAAGGAAATATATCACAGTCTATGTGTTTGCTGAATGATTTTCTCAATGAATAGCTTGTACTTGTTGTGATTTGGTGTGTTCACTTGCTTCTAGAAAACTCTGGAATCCAAGAATTCACAACAGAAACGAGCAAACAAAGACAAAAGATGATGTGGATTTGGTTCCTTCTCCTGAACAAACTTTGAAAGTTTCAGTGTAACTGTTCCTTTAAAGTTTTACTGTCTCACCTTCCTGATCTCTCAGGTACAAAAAAAAAAAAAACTTCCATTCGGCTCGGATGTTTCCTTGCTCCCACCCATTACTGAGATCTGCCAGCTAAAGAATGGGTGTTTACAGCATGAGAGCAAACTGCAAGTGTAGACAGGCCCGTTCACAGCTGATCACTACATACGAATGAGAGAAGAAACAGAGAGCCCTCTTTGTGTTGAGCGAAGCGATCAGACATTCACTTTCACCGAAAAAGAGCACAGCAAGGAATTCAGTCGGACCCAGAAATGATTTGCTGTTGAATCCGTTTGGATCTGCTGAAGGATCCAGTGGCTATTCCTTGTGGCCACAGCTACCCTATGAGCTGCGTTTAAAGCCTCTGGGATGAAGAGGATCAGGATCAGGATCAGAAAAAAAATCCACAGCTGACCACATTGTTGGCAGACCCTCACACAGTGGCCTGTCCTGGTGAAAAATACCATATTGGCAGATTTAGGGAAGAAGCTGAAGAAGACTCCAGTCTGATTCCAGACTGATCACTCCGATGCTGGAGCTGAAGATGCGGCCTGTGATGTCTGCACTGGGAGCAAGCTGAAAGCCCTCAAGTCCTGTCTGGCTTGCAACACCTCAAGCCTCACAATGACTCACTTACATTTGAAAAACACTAGCTTGTCCCCCTTACCAAGAAGCTTCAGGAGAACGTCTGCTCTGGGTCATAAGAAGGTTAAGAGGGTTTTTCTCTGCCATACTCACCAGGGATGTATCTGTTATCTCTGCCCTGTGGATGAACATAAAGGCCACAACACAGGCTCAGCTGCAGCAGAAAGGACTGAGAGGCAGAGGGAGCTCAAGATTAGTTGGGAAAAATATCCAGCCATGTAGGTCCACCAGCAGAAAACTGCAGTGACAAACTTCAAGAGAAGCTGGAGAAGGAGCCTGCTGATCTGAGGAGGAAAGACGTTGTGCTGGAGCAGCTCTCAACTACAGAGTATGGCACCTATTTTCTACAGAGGATGCCTTCACTCTCCTGTATCATTGAATCCACAGACTCACTTCTGCACAAACACCCGTCCTCTTCGATACTTTGAAGATTTGACAGTGGCTGTGTCAGAGGTAAGAGATAAACTTCAGAGGATTGTAAATGAGGAAGGGCAAAGGATCTCACAGACAGTGACTGAAGTGGATGTTTTAGTGATGCCTCCACAGCCCGAGACCTGAGCTGCATTCTTACAGTATTTTACGTCAAATCACACAAGTCCCCAGTCCTCCAGAGCAGGAGTGTACCTGGATCACAGTGCAGGTATTCTGTCCTACCTGAGTCCAGACCACATTCACACAGCCTCTCTATGCCGGATTTTGGCTTCCAAACACTGAAGGAGACACAGCTGAGTTGTGTGAGCTCAGGTAGAGAGAGGTTATAACAGAGAGCACAACTCTTTGTTTTGTGCAGCAATGCCAAAAAATAAACACCCCAAAGTTACATTTGTTTTTCACAGGCCGCAATTTAAATGTAGAAACTTTAATTGCGGTAATTGACACTCTTCACATTTTATGCATGGACTGTATTTTTATATTTCAAACTAGTTTACTTCCAGCATTTCAATGTATTATATTTCTGCTATTTCAGTATTCAGGGAGGCCAAATCACATCCACTCTGACAAGGTCCTTGTGTTTGTTATGCATTTTATAGTTTTTAGGTATTTAAGTGATACTTATCCAGTACGACTAAAAGAACAGAGGCTGTGTGTTACTATACAACCAAGAGAACTCCAGAAAGATGGGTAAGTGGTTAGAGAAACCACCCCCGAAGCCAAAATGAAACAGATTTTATTCATCTCTTTTTTCTTTATTTACATTTGGTCACCACAGTGCCCATAATGTAGGAGATGCTGCCCTGTAATCAGATGGAGTATATGGCCACCCATTAGTCCAGGACTGTTTCAGAGTATCTAAGCATGCCGGTGCGCATGGTGATAAATGAGCACATCGCCCCCCATCTGTTTTCTGTTCATACACAATGACAAGTATGGCACTTGTTGCTGAGGCATAGCTTGTGATCTGAGGTCCTTTGTTAACAGCACTTTTACAGGGTGAATTATTTCTAATAACTGAAATAATCTGGCATGTTCATTTTTGAATAGTTTCACATAATTTAAGTACTTTGTCATATTAAATTCCTTCATCATTCTTACATTTGCAGCTGAAAGTTAAACTACACAATTATAAAATGATTTGAATTTTGAATGTCCTGGATTCCATTCATTTTCAGAAGAAAAACAAACTATGTTGACTATGGCTTAATACCCAGGGTTGTGAATTTTCATTTACAAAATTTCATAATCTATCAAAGCCTGAATCCACTGATTTCAACTGGAGGTTATCATTACCTCCACCAAGGAGGTCATGTTTTCACCCGTGTCTGTTTGTGTATTTATTTGTCAGCAGGATTACACAAAAAGTACTGAACTGATCTGCACTGAACTTGTTGGAGGGACTGAGCATGGGGCAGATTTTGGGGCAGATCAGGATCATTTACAAAATTGAATTTGAATTTGCTTTTCTTTCTCTGAAGTCTGGTGCTTGTTGTTTGACATCGGCCTTGGCGGAGTTCTGTGCTCTACTGAGCATCATTCTAGTGTTAAATACACAGATTTGCAGATTTACACAGATGGTCATCTTAGCCTCAATTGATGCTACGTCACTGTAGAGATGAATGTTACTCCTCATGCTGTCGGATGTCAGAAATTTCTAAATGGTACCTGAGGAAATTTGCGTAATTTGCGTAATTGCGTAACCTGGAAATGACCATGTTCTTCTGCCGTCTCATGCCAAAGTTTCTGACATGTTAAATTTCACCAAAATCAGTTGAACCATACCTTGGATGAGAACCTGTCCTCCCTGGATGTAGAACTGCTGTGGAGCGTCTCCAGGCTGAGCTGCACACTGCAGGATGGTGGCTCCGGGCTGCGGGGTGGGAGAGCTGGCCACCGTCAGGTTCTGAGCCCCCTGAAGGCTTTCCACTCCAGGGCTGTTCAGCTGGATGGCTCTCCCCTGAGTGATCGCAACTGTGTGGTATCAAAGTTCTAAGTTACTAAACTGCAATCTCCCTCATGTAGAGTGAAAAGGGTTTAAGAGAAGTTTTTTTTTTTTCTCAGTGTGAGGTGAGAGGCAGTCTCACTTATTCTCTATCTTTGTAGAACATGAAACTCTGAAGGAAAAATCTAGTCATTGGACAATAATCTCAAGGTCCATTTGCTATCCACTTGCATTCAGAGGTATGAGAGACAGCAACAACAACTCCCAAGCAGCACTGCAGCAAGAAACATCCAGTCTAAGCTTAAAATTATGTTTCATGAGGCAGAAATCATGGTGCAGTTCTTTTTTGCCCCTGATTGGAACAACAAAGTGTTTTTAATATGCTACAGTTTTGACTTATGTCTCTACTTTACACTTTCATTAGGGACAGCCGCTGAAGCTCCTGGGTACTGTAGTATTACAGATTATTGTTATTATCAAACAGCACCAAAGTAGCTACAGTTATATTAGTAAGTTAAGTTTATCCAGGAGTCTTGCTGTGTTGAACATTGAACACTGAAAACCTTCATTTTAATTCCTGTTAATTTACTTGAGAAAGAAAAAAATATTCGTGGAACCGACTATTTTTTCCCTTTCAAACTCTTTACAGGAAATTATCTATTGACAGGAAGTGTGTAGAGGCAATGACCTGATTGTGTAACATGTTATTACTCTCTACACCTGAGAGTGGTGAACTAGAAAGGTAGACAGACAACCCTGTCCATGTGTGTACTGACTGTATTGTCCTGAGCTGGTCTGGTAGATGGAGGTTGGCACTGATGCTGAGGCTGCGCTCGAGACTGGCACCTCCTCCTCTGCCTTTTCTTCATCGATTTTAGAAACTGCTGGCGAATCAGATGAAAGCTCATTGAGGATTTTCCTGTGGGAGATGAGAATTCAATAAAATGATTCCACACAAACAGTCTAAATCTACCAGACTACACTTTGTGCAGCACACACTGTTGATCATGCTCCTGTTTACTGCCGATGACTTCTCACCGATAAGACGGACGCCTGGAAAGAATTTCCCGTCTCTTCTGAGTGTCTGTGACTGACTCGTCATCTTCCAGCTCTGCAACAGTAGCAATCTGTAGAAAACAATGTGGTATTCAAAAGTGCTGAGTAAGCCATAATGATGTTTTTTTTTTACATTTTGGCAACATCTTTGGTGTTTCCGAAGAGGTGTTACTTTCCATTCACACTTTTATGAGTGAACTGGGATGTGTTTGATATAACAGTTTGTAAAGGTTGACGTCAAAGAAGGAATTTAAGCAGCTTTTTATCTAAAGCCTTAAAGGTCCCATATTTTACACTTTTTCCAGTCTTTTATTTGAAGTTTTGAGATCAATAAGAAGAAATATTTGCGGTTTTAAAGGTCCCATATCTTATAAAGAGAGATTTCCATGTCTTTTTTCATTATAAAGCAGGTCTAGGTTCTATATTAATACTGTGAAAGTATCATAGCGCTGAGTCCACAGAGAAATGCACACAGCTTGTATTCAGAAACTGAGCCTTAAAACCAGCCGTCAGGACTTAATAACTTTTTAACTTTGTGATGTCACAACAAAGCAATCACCACTCTCAGCCATGCCCCAAGCCCTGCCCACCTGGACCCACCATCCAACCTTGCAGGATTTGGTTTCTGTGAGTGTTTACCTGAAATCTGCTTTATTTTTATTAGATCACTCATAAAACAGTGAGCCAATCAGAAGAGAGGCTCAGAGCTCACCGACATGTTGTTACTAGAGCTCCATAGAGAAGATTGAGAGAGGAGATGTAAAACTACATTGAGATGGTTTTTGGTTCTTAGAACCATAAATATATCTTCTTATGGATCAACACTTCAAATAAAACACAGGAAAAATGTAAAATATGGGACCTTTAGGTACCAAAAATTATCTCAATGTAGAGAAACCAGAACCTGCGAAGGCTGGGCAGCGGGTCTGGGTGAAGGCATGGGCATGGCTTTGATACTTTCACAGTATTAATGTAGAACCTAGACCTGCTTAATAATCAAAAACATGGAAATCTCACTTTATACAATGTGCGACCTTTAATCTTTTCAACCAATCACACGTCTCAACCTAGTTTTAGTGGAGTTCTATATCCTGTAATTATTTGTGAATGTAAGAGTTGACACCCTACTTTCACAGAGGATTATTTCCTTGTGGCATGAATAAAAGGTTTACATTGCGTAACCCAAATTGTACTGTTGGTAATAACAAACATAAATTTGACCTGCTTTTGTGTCATCAATAACTGAGCTATTATGACTCACACTCTAGCATAATGCTTGTGTTACCACAAAGGCAGCTTTGGTACTTTCAGACGAGACGTGTCTGATTTATGCCAAATGCTAAACAAGGGCGTGTCCACACCCATTTATTGATAATTATAGGTGTAGAGATTGGGTCTGTTGCTTGCTCGGCTTATGCTTCGAAAGCAGAGGTTCATAAAATGACTTCATTTGTCAGATCTCTGCTACTGTGCTCACGGTTTTTAGTCTTGAATCTACACTGTGTTTCATCTGTCTCAATCACAACTGTGCAATAACAACCTGTAACGGTGTATTTGTTTCTATGACAATGTAATTGTTATTGTAAAGGTTCTGCCAATACCACAATGAAGATGAAGTTCTTACTTATGAAACTCACTGATATGAAATACGTGAGTACTTTGAAATCAGTTGTCAAAACCACTTTGTGGTGTGCATCTGCTGTTTCACCGTGCAGATTTGATCTCTTTCGATTTCTTCGTAAAGACACATAAGTAACCTCTGCTTTGCAAATCAAGCTGCAGATGTGAGAAAATCTTATGAATTGATAAACTTTTATTCTTTAACTCCCCATCCACAAACTGTTTTGTTCAGGTGCTCAAAATACTGAAACATCTGTGCGTCCAAACCAAATCATTCAGCGAAGCAGTGGCATTATGACTTTTGGCCATCATCACACAGCTGCAAGTCCTGTGTTAACAGTTTGTGGAGTAGGCGTACTGTGCAGACACAACAACAACGACATCTCCTGAGTGTGAAGGTTAGACTGATGAGCTTAAACCTCAGCTCCTACTGCTCACATCAATCCTATTAACAGGTGCACTGCATTAGACCACTCCAGTGTACCTCCTACACGTAGCAGCTAAATCCTCATTCACTAACACACTAACTCTGACATCACAACCTGTGAATGATTCTCTAAAACCTACTGTGTTTACTGTTCCATTTGTTTTTTTTGTTGAATGGTGACACCAGAGCCGTAAACCTGAGGCTTGGACTTTAATGTCACCAAAATGAGGACTTTCACTAGGACTTTTGCTTGAGACTCTCTCTGACCGACATGAGACTCAACTTAAATCAGTCCTGAATGACTTGAGATCAGACTTGAAAGTCGTTCTGACAGAACTGAGATCTGACTTGACTTAATCTGATTTCAGTCACTTAAGACTTAACTGGGAACTTGCTCTGACAGATTTGACTTGAAGTTTTCCTAAATGACTTGAGAAGTAACCTGGACTTGTCTTAAATGACTCCGGTCTTGACTTGAGACTTGCTCTGACAGACTACGGACGGGGCATGGACTTGATATCTTATAGATATTTCTCCGATCTATCCTTAGTTTTGAAAAAAACTGTGCTTACTAGAGTTCATAACAGTACTAAGGCATGTGCCCTCACCTGGACAGTCTGGACTTGTGGTGACTGTATCACTGAGGTCTGAGGGGCCTGGATGACCCCTTGGACCTGCACAGTCTGACCATCAGACAGCTGGACAACGGTCACGCCGGGGGACTCGGCTGCCACAGGTACCTGCCAATAAAAATCAAGACAATAATGCCAAAATCCACAGATATAAAAAAAAAAAAAAAATGTCAAGAGCACAAGAAAAAAGAAGAGAAAGTCATTGTGGTTGGGAACATTTTTTATAACCTGGATTATCTAAAAATTGGCTAAAAATCTCTTGCTGAACAACTTTAACACATGACTATCTACAATGTGCTGAAGAGTCACTGATGCCTGGCTGCGCCTGCTCTGCCACTACTACTTACTACTACTTACTTAATACTTCATAACAAGCTGTGTGTGTGTGTGTGTGTGTGTGTGTGTGTGTGTGTGTGTGTGAGTGTGTGTGTGTGTACCTGAGGAGATGGACTGGCTTCACTGTGGTTCTCCTCTCCATCCGTCACTGAGTCATTTAAACTGCTGTCGAGCTGAGACGATACTGAGGTATCCATAGTAAGTCACCTAGACAGACAGACATGCAGATTATTAATACTATTACTGATGCCTTCCTTATACCGTCTCCTCCAATACCATTATCACAGATCACAAATAAATGGACAAATTAAACATGAATTTTCCAGAACTAGTTAGAACAAGGTATTTGCCCTTTGTTCAACAGGATATTGCTTCATGGATAATCATAAACTTTTATTAAAGACAATAAACTTGTGATTTTCTTTTGTTTTATGAGCCGTCAAAATATGTTTTGTGCAGAATTTCACTGTCACGTGAAGGTTTAAAAAGATGCCTCCAACCTGAAAAGAACGAAACCCAAAGTTAAACTGAAAATCTGTCTCTTTTTCAACTCTGACTCCGCTTTCAAAATGACACTGATGATAACAGTCAAAGCAGCCAAACACAATGTACACACTTCAAATTCAATATGCTTTTTTTTATTGGAATCGTAAACTCTGTGTTTTGTTTTATCTGCCAGTTTGCGTGTGCGTCATAAAGATCTATCTGATCTCTGTTGGCAGTTTTACATAACATCCATTTCACATGCACATTAAGTGTAGCAGCCAGGACCAGGCAGTCTGGCACGTTTTCACACTCCAGGACAGAGGCCGTCACAACCTCAAATGTCATTAATGATTATTGATTCTTGTTAGCAAAGATGAGAGGGAAAATGACAGCGCATAACAGGAGTAAAGATCTGGTTTAGTTTTAAGGCTGAGGATCACAGAGTCACATTCACCAGCCAGAAAGCAGATAGTGGTTCAAATATTTCCTTTTTTTTATTTTTTTATTTCAGGGACCCACGTGTACAGCCACAGGACCACTGTTTGATAAAGATATGTTCTAAGCACATTATCTCAATTTAATGTTGTCTGCTATTGAAACAAGAGTGAAACATCTGGTTGGAAAGTGTTTTCTTATTGCAAAAATGAAATCAAAGAAACCACCGTGAATTTAAAGCATGACTCAAGAACTATAGAAATCCCCCACATGCCAGTTCAGTTTCTGGAAGCACTGTTGCACAGGTGTAGCAGGTGCCTATAAACACTCCTTTTTTAGTTTCTCTTAATATAAAAAACCCTACATGAAACACAATTTCTACTTCTTTTTTGTTGGTGTATAACATAAAGTAGACTGTACACGCACTCCGGTTAAGACAAGTTGCACAAATCACACATAGAACTTCATGAAGGCAAAAAACTGACTTCCCTTCTTTAGTAAAACAAACTGAAAATGAAACTGTTGGCAACTGTAACTTCCTCGACATGTTCCATTTTTGACTTTTATTTCAAGCAGTACGTCTTTTCGTTATAGGCTATATTATAAATATATATATATATATTTTCATATATGTGACTTTTTTTTACAATATTTTATTTTGAAGAGACATGTTTCGATCAATTTCCGATATCCAGCTCAGTCCGTCTGACTTGTCGCAGCTCTGTAAACTTAAACAGAAGGGAAACGCTGCCAGCTGAACGAACTGAGAACATTTTTTTACTCCATGTTGGTCGGGCTAATTCATCCGCCCAAAGTTTTAATGAAAAGCTTCGCAGCGCAGACGTGATTTGCACATTTCCCCTTTCAACTCTGCCCAACTTGCGCTGACCAAAAATGCGACAGCTTTTCGGTGACTTACCGAAGTTTTACGTAGTCTGACTCGTCACTAATGACAGTCTGCGTGGACGGCCTGTGCCTTCGCTCACGTAGTTTCCACGTCAGCGCTGATGATGCAGTGCCGAAAATGTCGACCGACGAGTCAGTTTAACGTCGAAGAGTGTCGAGGTGAAGCGAGAGGGCACACTCTTGCCTACTTCCGCGATCGCTTTGCTCGTGAACAGCCAGTGACCTAACGCTCTCGCTGAGTAGGCCTATTTTAAGTAGCGCACTACCGCTTCATAGCACTAAAGATTGCAGTGTGTGTAATTTTGTTCACATTTGGGGCTTCAAAGGCTTTTATCTGCCCAGGTAGTTACTTAGTAACAAATTCTTCATTCTTCATTCTTCATTATGACATATGCATTGATTAGGCCTTTATAAAGTTAAACTAGGCCTACAACCTGTTTGCTTATTAGTAAATAGAACTCATATTTTCATTTACTGTGGGAAAAGCAAATATACAGATTAATATTGAAATAATATAACGTGAAATAAAAGTTTGTGTGTGTTTTTTTAAAACTAAAGGTATGGAAATATAGCTATCTCATACAGGAGCAGCTTCAATCCATCCATCAATAAATGATCCAAGTTTGTAATATGTAGATTAGATAGTTAATATTATTAAAATAGCAATTCAACTTTTTCTGTTTTCCTATGGCCAGTAACATGTTTACAGAGCAGAGCTATGTTGCCATCTACTGGCTGAAAAGTAAACAACACCTGAAAGAGCATACAGGCTACAACAGTGTCTTATCAACATTTGGGCATGTATTGCATTTTTTTTATCTGCTTTAAAAAATAAATCTAAAAGTAGAATGAGCTTAAACTTTGGTGTCATTGACATTATAAATAGAGCAAAGTTCATCACACCCAGCCTTGATTGGAACAGGCATTATTCTCCTGTTCCACAAGAATATATATGTCATCATTAATAAAAATTTAAAAAAGCACCAGCTCCATGTTAGTGTTTGTGATAGTGACTGCACACTTCGTTAAAAATGTGATTGAAGATCATATTTTAAGATAAGAGCCACGTGTTTCACTCTGCGCTTCATCAGCACTGGCAGTATACTTTGGGAGGATGCTTGATATCCCGTAACACAACAAAGTTAACAACAACTTTATCAAAAAATAAAATAAAATAAAAAGTCTCTTTAAGTAAAAAATCTATTTTTTTAAGACAAATTTTCAGGATATTTACCGGAAGGAAGCAGATGTTAAGCATGTGCACCATGAAGATTCAATGAGGTTTTCATAAACACAATACATGCAATGTATTGTACAAGAAAGATTAAATATATTTCTTAAAGTTTCTAAACAGAGTTGACATGGAAGGTTTGCTTCATTGAGACTTTCACCAGAAAAACTCCAAAAACAGATTTAAGGTTAAACAGTAAAATCTCTTTGTTGCAATGGTTTTCAAAAAGACTATTTTTAATAAGCTCATATGATAAACTCATATATATTCTAAACAGTTTTCTAACATCACGTTTTCTACGTATTACTTCATTCTGATATTAAGGTGTGTACAGTACTGAGGGTTCAGTGTAGAATCTGCTCTGAACTAGCTGAATTCCTTTATTTAGATCTGACTCTGGCTGACCCCAGAGCCACCATCTGTCCTCCTGCGTGCCAGGAGAGGTCGTACTGTTCAAACATTGCCCCTGCTGTTATCAAAGAGCACTGCTCTGCATGGCCAAGTCCCTCCCTTTTAATCTCTAACCGAGTGAGAGTAAAGCACTTCATTCAGCAATAACCACAACTGAATGAGGTGCGCTTAGAGTTCTGTGTTCAAGTATAATACAGGGGTATATTGCACTACACATTTGTACATTGTAGATAGATAAATTGAAAACATCACACTGAACAGAATATTGCTGTCCATCATTTTGTCAGAATCTGTGCCACACTGTTCTAATTATCTAAGCTGTGTTACATCAGTCATCCCGGCCTGTGTCCCCCTTACCCCACTGCTCCCCATCAGCTCCTTCCTCCTCCTCCCTCTTCCTCTATCTCCTTGGCCTGTCCCGCGGTCAGAGCATGGAGGCTCCAGATGGTCAAGCACCAGCAGCAGAAGGGGGACCCTTGGGGGGCACAAAGGCCTGACAGCAGGAATCCACATATGACCTGGGCCAGACAGCTCTTTAGCACAAAATTAGCCTGGGATGAAGGCATAACACAATTACATGCTGTTAATACCATCAAAGAGGTATTTGGGCGTCCATTGTGCCCTTGGCAGCTTAACTAGCCTAATTCTGTAAAAATTTCAGCCCTTTCAGACAAGTTGAAGCTTTTTCATGGGTAAAGCTGCTATAACCTTTTTCCCCAAACTTACTGTGCACATGAAATCATAAACATATGAATTAATAGTGATGTAATGGGTTAGCTCTAGACAATTCATAACTGTGAAGATGCAAAGATCTGATTGACTAATTTCTTGCAGTTTCTTTGACAGTGTTGATATATCAATGTTCTAAAAAATAAGTGGATTTCTACTTGGAATCTTACTCTGTGTGTGTGTGTGTGTGTGTGTGTGTGTGTGTGTGTGTGTGTGTGTGTGTGTGTGTGTGTGTGTGTTGAACTGAACTGTTTTTTTGTTTTTTTTTACTAATCACTGTTCTGTCCTGTTCCACATTATTTTAACTCACAATAGTGGGAGATCAAAATTTGCAGTAACACTTATTATTGCATATCACTGTGGCTTTTTGTGTCAGTCCTAACCCCCACTAGTCTGCGCTGATACTCACAGCTGGTTCCATCTCTGTTGGGAACTGGGATCAGAACAACTACCAGACTCCTGTGTCTTAGCGTCTTTCACTTGTTGTAATGCATTTTAAATTCTTTAAATCTTACCTCTGTTAATTTCCATTGAATTGTATGGATATAAAACATACTTGGACTGGTACAACTAGCTGCTGCCACCGCCCCAGACAGACAAAGTGACAAGTGGCAAGGAAGTGGCATCCTAACTGATTACCTGCCATGATGAGAGGACAGATTGCTTTTTCATTTTCATTTTGACCCAAAAAGAGCATAGTGAACACTGTCACTGTAGCTAGAGCAGGTTAAGTTGTTAAAAATAAAATGTCAAACAGCTTTTCAATTTCCATTTTAATATGGTCATAGAACACCCATAAGAGTATTTGAAAATGAAAATGCAAATTGGATTACTGCATTTTTATTTTCATTTTTTCTCAAATAATGGATTCTGTTGGAAGTGTGGTCACATGACAGCCGGGCAGAAGAGCAGCAGGAACGCAGGTATGCTAACTGGGCAGGTGACAAAGGTGACTTGAGTGTTCTTTGTTCTGTTCCCTCTATAGTTTCACCTTTGTCCCTGAGTGTTTAGAGTGAGTAGTTTATTTCATTTTTTTCTCGGTTGCAATACATGGCCCTGAGCAAACTCCATTGTGATACATAGCCCAGACCAAACTAGGTCATGATACACAGCCCTCAGAAAACTCAGTCGTGATACATAGCCCTGAGCAAACTCGGTTTTAACACATAGCCCTGACAAACCTCGGTCATGATACTCAGCTCACATGGCCCTGACCAAGCTGGGTCGTGGTACATAGCCTCGAGTGAACGCGGTCATTTGGGTTGAGGTCGGTTCTATTGTGAAGGAGGTTGTCATGTAGCATGCATTGCTTTATGGTTTCAACTGCCTCCATAGTTGGTATGCATGTAAACAATTCTCATGTGGTGGCCGTTTGTAAAAACTTGTAAAATGAGCAAGTGAGATAGGATTTACAGTGTAGGTTACGCAGAAGCAATGCAGCTTGTTCTTTCTATGTGTACTTCAACTCACTTAAACAATACGACTCTCATTTTAAACTTTTTTTCACTGCTTACACTACAGTTTGCATTCTTCATGCCTTTTCCCTCTTTTTCATCTCTTAATACTACTTCAACTGCTTATTCATACAAAGTCAAGCCAGCAATGCAGTTCAGCTTCAGTTTCTGCAGAGGCCAGCAATCCCACTGCAATATCTTCAAAAATAGCATTTTACAAATGCAATTGCTCAAATGTGATTTACTCTGGGAGAGGTTATCATCACTGTGAAAGGAGAAACTGTTCCCTCTGCACCACCAGAGGTCACCACTGATTCAAATATAATGCTTTGTCAGACAGGTGGATATTTACATGTTAATTATTCAGCTTGTGCCCTAAATTAATCCAGAGCGAGTGTTTTAGGGCTTATGGAAGCTGTGCTGCAGTGTTTACAGACAACTCTCCTCACCAATAACTTTGTCTGCAACTACCTTTGGACTCTATATGAACTGTATGAACATTGTGCTCACTGATAAGCCAATGTCTATCTTCTTTGTATTTTACTATTTGCTTTTATATGCGTGAAAAAGTAGTTTGTTGCCTTTTGCTAAGTGTCTCCTGGTTGTTATGTAGTGTCATTCACTCACAAACTGATATTCCATAAATACCATAATAATGTAAGATAAGATGTAAGAGACTGAGGTTACCAAAAATCTGAAAATGCAAATATGCCTCTTTCCTTTTTGGAGTAGCTGTTGTGTATCCCTTATATTAATGGAGCTCATTGGTGTGTTGTATATTTAGACAAATGTGGGAGGTAAGAGCACCTGAATGTAACATCATTGTCAACTAAGCATATGAAATAGTCCCATATCAAATTCCAAATACCTCCAGATATTTTGCATGATAAATATTATCCAAAGAGCCCAAATACCACACTTGGTTGCTCATGAAGTATGTGAAAACTTCTGTTCCAAATACTTTACATCTGTTGAGCATCAAAGTTCAGTCTTGACCTTGGAAACAATAGTTTGAGTTTGAGGTGGTTTCCCATTCAGGAGTAAAACATTTAATAAATTGCATGTGTCTTCAAGGACCTTGAATTATATTAAAGTCTGAGGAAAATAAAATCAATTGTGAGTTATAAGCCGATGCTGATTTAGTTTGTTAAATGGCTCTTGTTTCCTCTCTGAGCACATCTACTCAACTGCTCTTGTAAAACAAGTTCACCTTTGACCTTCACTACTTCACTACAGTCGCTTGTGATGCTGTTGAAATTGAATCATATTCTACTGTTGAACTGCACATAGATCTGCACATGAATAACTAGCGAAATGTCTAAAATGTAATGCAATAACCCCTTCAATAGTCCCCTTCACTGAAAATAGCCCAGTCATTACCTTCTATCTGACCAGTGTGATTGCACATTTCCTCTGTGTCACCTTTTGTGAAAACCACCATGAACAAGTAAGTGCTCATATTCTCCAAAGTCAGGGCTGTTTAATTTATCGTGACAGCTGCTGAGGCTGTGGTTGGTGGCCCGTGAGCGCTCCAGCTGTGTTAAGAGTTAAAATAGCCTCCCAGCTGTATGCTGGCACTAGGTGGTGGAGCGATCCCATTTAAACAGTGCCCATGTAAACCACACACACTTTCCACATACTTGAAATTCAGTGGTTCTCCTCTCTTCTCTTGTTCTCACTAAACCATGTGTTGCAGCCCTTCTGGGCCTTGTGGGCTCTATATCCCACACTGATTCAGGGGAGAGAGCAGGGGCATCTCACTCTACACTGGATCTTCTTTGTCATCATCTTGATGTAATTGAATGGAATTTAAAATAAAAAAACTTTTTGATGATCTTGTGACTCAGGTTGATGCTTTTTTTACAGCAGCCTGTTCCTTTTGGTTCGAGTCCATCCATGTGCTGTTGGAGCGGCTCCTAAAAGCTCCCCAGACAGATTTGGACTGCTTTTCATTTGGGGGTTTGGTTCAGTTTCAAACCCCAGGTGGGACAACTGACTGAAAAAGGAAACAAGCAGGTGCACGAGAATACCTGAGGCTTTTAACAAGGGGATGCTGTATCCTTAAGTGTAGTAATGAAAATATGTATATACCATTACTGAGGGAAAAAAAATGTAGGCATATTAGGAAATAATAGCTGGATCATTGGACGTGAGAAGAATTGAGTTACTTAACAAGTCACACACTATTATCAAATCTAATCTCTGCTTCATTCTAAACTTCAATCTGATCTCAAGCCCAACCATTGAACCAGTCCAGTAACAAAGTGGGACCATTAAAAATGTTTATAGGGGACTCTACTTAACTGTCTATTCTTGTCGGGACTGATCTATAGGCTGCTGTAGTCACCTGCATTGTTTTCAGTGGATGCATTGATTTAAATAGTATTTTTGTCTCTGTCAGCGCAGCAGTGATTCCCTGCATGCCATCCATTACCCACCATCTCCTCAGCTGAGGGACACAGCAACTGTGGCCTTCCCTGCTCCCCTGATGCCTTCATGTACCGCTTGTAAACTCCACCTTCAAAAGTTAGAAGTTCCAGATGTGATTTCCCAGCATTCACCCCCCTTAGACAATAAGGAAGTAAATGTGGTGACAGCTTCATTCACTTTTCACTTTTTTTTTCATGATCTCTGAAATACACAATGAAACTTGCAATGGGAAAACAGCACAGGACTGATGCTGCTGCAACAAGCTAGGGGACAACAGACTGCACATCTTTCTTGTAGACTAATGGATTTGTTTATTCATTCATATCCTAAAGTAGCTGTTATCTAAGCTTCATTGCATCTTCTGTAGCAATGTGATTCAACTCTTAGTTAATCACTTGCTGCAGCTGTTCTCTCCTTAGTAATGCAGAGCAATGTGCCCTACAAATATACACTACACACAGTGAGACAACTTAGATTAAAGATGTGATAATTATATTATGATTTGGCGTTATACAAATAAAATTGAATTGAATTGAATCATTGATAATGATTAAAAATGTGGGCTTATAATATGATCTGCATCCCCTAAATGCCACACCTCTGTTGATAAAAGCAAAAGCATACTTTCCATTCTTATAGCTAGTCATTAATTCATTCCTCTGTAGATTAAGTTTACTCAGTGATGTACTGTAACCTCAACAAACATGGCGAAAATTGGTTATGTCCTTGTATCATTTTCACCTAGGTCTGCTTTACAATTTTTTTTTTAGCATCAAACTGGAGCAGTGATTGATGACCAGATATTACTTTTTATTTGATTATTCAATCAGGGAGCTGCATGCTGCCTATTTCTCATCGTCATTCTGACAAAAAGAATTGTGTATGAAAACAATGTCAAATCAATGTCCGTTATCACAGCTACGGGCTCCACAGTCAACTGCCGATACCGACATCCCAACAGCACCTGAACGCAACATATGACCGAGCATTAGCTCAGCAGAGGGAGAGAGAGAGAGGGATTGGGATCGAGGGAGGGAAGGAAGGAGAGAGAGAAGCTAAACAGGTGGTCTGAAAACACACAGAAAACAATGTCGTTCGGCGGGGAGAGGCGGAAAGACCTTTAGTTCTCGCTTCTACAAAGGAATACCGGGACAGCCGCGGAGCAGAACAAACAAAAACCCATGCTCCTGTTTTATTTCCACACGGATTTCTCCTCCTCCTCCTCTCCTCGGTTTGACTCCGAATCTGGGCAAGATCTCGGATACTAAACCATGAAAGTCACGGTGTGTTTTGGCAGGACCCGGGTGGTGGTGCCGTGCGGGGATGGAAATATTAAAGTGCACACACTCATCCAGCAGGCTGTCATGAGATACAAGAAGGCTATAGCCAAGGTAAGTGGCGGCCACTTTGCTTTCTTGCGGCTTTTGTTATCCTGGAAACAATGTTGCGACGTCCGGAGGGGCTCTGTGCGGGCGCACTCAATATGGCGCAAACTTAAAACAAATGTAAAGTAGAGGGAGAGGGGCGCCTGTTTCTGCTCGCTCGTGCTCGTTTTGCACACTTTACTTGAACGAATGAGAACACCAAGGCTGCATGTGCGTATTATTCGCCGTGTGTTGCTGCTTTCAAAGAAAAGGCGCACCGCCATTGTGGTTCTTGTGTTTGTAAACCCACAAAACTTCCTCTGGGAATCTTACTGTGGTGGTTTCGGGTTTACTGCAGCTCAAAGGCATAAAATAGGAGTTCGTAACACGTTTGTGCACAAACACGCTTGCAGACTTAGTAACCCAGTTGTAAGGACTCTCAGTTCATGCCTCTGAAAGTTGCCAGCAGAGATTAGCCTACTAGCAAGTTAGCCAGCAGGCTGCAGAAGTAGGACTGACGTCTGAGGCGTTTGGGCTTCAGTGCAGACCAATGTAATTAGTAGGCTTATCAGGAAAGTCCTATCAGGTTAGTCTACACTTTATTTTAATGTGTCTGTCAAGAATAAAATATATAAAGTTCCTCTTTGTTCAGTTGTTAATGAGCTTATTATAGTGGCCTGCAGGACTGGCTGGAGTATCCAAGTAAAGACTTCAGGACTAATCAATCAGCGATGCTTCAAATGCAAGGATTGCAAGGAAGAATTTTTTATTTTTTGCTAAGTTATGTTACACCACAGTTTTGGACTAAATGCAGGATTATCTGAGAAGACCTTCAGATGCAGGGCAGTCTGAGCAGGCACCAGGCCCTGTAGGATAGGGAGGGAAATTGCAATGCCAAGCTGCTCCAGCTGACTGGTGGAGGCATGGACCTGACACATAAATCTTCCAGATAAAAAGTGAACCTAAGAAAACTTGTTGCATAATGTCGGGGTAGCAGCAGATAACCTTTGAACCATAGTTATGTGCTTTATGTGCAAGGTTCTTTGGCTAGATCCTATCAGATGAGACTGGGTGTGCAGGAGCATAATAAAACATATATTAGATATTTTCCTCAGTCCTAGAGACTATGTTTACTGCACGAAAATTCAAGGAAACCCACTCACTTTTGGCATCAACACCATTATAACTTTTTCTTTTAATCATTCAAAAATACAATTCTGCTGTATGTCTAAAAGTCTAGTCACTCTTCTGTGATCTAAGTTTATATAATTCATCCCCACATTTGGGATTCAGTCTGTTTATTAAATTGGGTGATGAAAGTAAATTTAGGTCAGTAATTAATTTAATTTGGTTTATTGTCCAGCCTATAAGGTACAACTGTGGGAAAGTAGCTCTTCAGGCTTCATAAATGATTAATGCTGTGCCCCCTCCATTCGCTAACTTTAGGACCGTCTCTCTTTGTTCTGAGGATTGTGACCTAGAAGTCATACTGTATCCTCCTCTCCTGTTGAATAATTCAGTGTGAGCAGAGGGAAGAGAGTACGAGAACATCACTGCGTAGTTGAGATGTTGAGCAGGTAGAACGGGCTGATACTGAAGTACTCTTTCCCCCTTTTTTTTGCACAGAGAAGATACTAATTTTCACATAAATCCTGACGAAATCCAGGACCATGAGAGATGCCACCCTCTGTCGACCAGCTCTGCACAGGGTTCGGGATGTAAACCGTTTGTGGTTACTAGCTGAAGTCATCATTGCGTTTGGCTAGAGGCTCAGATATTTGTAGTACAATTTAGGAAAGGGCAATTGCCTCAAAAAACCCGACTTTGCTGCTGTTTTAATGTAGAGGGTGCGCTGTGCCTGTGTGCTGGAAATGAGGCCACACATCCAATTCTTTTTCTGTTTTCTTTCAAGCTTTGATCTAAATGATAAAATAAACAGAGCTCCTCATGATCCTCACCACAACAAAACGTACCGCCTCAACATACGACACCCTTGTCATTTCATCCCATATGTGCGTTTATTGCTCCAGTCCCACCCAGCCCACATTTCAAGACTGGGCATTTTCATGTCTAGTGTCTAGTGAGTGTCTAAGGAAGTGTTTTGGTCACAGATGTTGTGTTGAAGATCACAGCTTTTTTTTTTTTTTTTTTTTTTTTTTTTTTTTTTGGTCAGCCTGTCTTAATAAGAGGCCCAAATTTAGTTTGGGTGTTTTCTCCAGCTTCAGTGTTTGTATGGACCTTCCCCTGTCATTAGAGAGGAATGCTTCCTGCAAAACAGAAAAAGCAGTCCACTTCTGAGGGCCTGAAGCCACCTCATAACTGTGGAATTAGACAGAGATGAGGACACATGGATGAGTGTTCAGATACAGAAATCTGACTGGACTCGAGAGACAGAACAACTTTGCGAGCTGCAAAATCTCTGAACGTCTTGAGAAGAAAAGAAAAAAAAAAAACGGTGTCAGATTATCCTCCGCTGCTCTTTTTCCTTCCACAGATCACAGGGTAGATTCTCACTAATGTTCACCCATTTGACTAAGTGTGGCAAGCGTTTAAAATGACACCCTTGACTGGAAAACTGTCTCGTGGTTTCAATGCTCCAAACCCTCAAGTGACGTGAGTGTTGGCATGTCGGAGGAATCATGAGTTTTGGTGGTTGGTATCAGGTGTCTGCACCGTTGTGTCCATATGCAGCTCACAGCAGATTTCCATTCACTGTCTCTCACTGCTGGAGTTTCCTCCGGAGGAGTCTGGGCTATTGTGCATATACTCGACCATTGAGGGAGACAGCTTTAACATGACTTTGACCTCTTGCGGACAATGGAAGCAGGTGTCTGCTCTTCTGTCTGGTGAAGTGGTTTTCTTGAGCAATGTGTGGTTGAAAATAGTGCTCCAGTGTTACTGATGAGCCCATTAGGGATGCAGCTAATGATTATTTTTTACCTAAATTGATTAGATATCTATCAAATGTCAAAAAATAGGCAAAAATGCCCATCACATATCCTTAGAGCCCAACGATGGCAGCTTAAGATCAATGTTTCTTCTGACCACCAGTTTAAATGTGCCAGGTGAGACATGGTGAAATACGATTAATAGCAATATAATGATAAGGAATTATCTGTTAAAGACAGGTATAGCAGAGAACAGGACAGTTCATTCTGTAGGTGAGTTCTAACACTCGCCTCCTGATTTACTGAGGCAGGTGCAAACCCGGCAGATTTAAAAATAATTTTTATGTTTGGACCTAAATTAAAACGTGCTTTCACCGGGCGATAAATAGTGTGATTAAATAAGCTGCTTTCTGCTTTTGTAAATCAGGCGCAAGGAGCTATTATAATGATTAGAATAAACCCATCCTACATTTTTGCACTCCCTGGGTGACATTCCTTCTACGGCTAAACTTGATTATTGGGGAAATCCCCATGGATAAATAGCGAACAAGTAATAAATATACACTTGAATTACAGTGTGTGTGTGCAGGGTGTGGACCAGCTGGGTGGGTGGGGGGTGGGGGGGTCACGATGCTGGGTTCAACATCGTGATGACTGTCAGCTATAGGCGAAGGACAATCAGCTCAACACTAGTCCTGATGTCATTTCTATGTGCTGTAGTGTGCTTGAGATATTACACAGTTAGTTACAGTGTTTGTCATTGGAGTGCAGCAGCCTCTGATGGCCGACAGGGCCTGGAGATGCAAGGTCCTGCACACTATGAAAGCTAACTGCTGGTGTTATGGTCATTCTCTGACAGATTAACATGTTCGCCACCAGAAACGTGACACATCTTCAAAGGAAAAGCTCCAACTTCTGAAGTCAGCCCCATTTTGTTCAAAAGAGCGATATAATTACATGCATGAAAGGGATGTTAAACTCAATATGATAATGATGACGGATCGTGGAATGTGAGTGCACAATGTCAGTGCAGCGTTCACACTGACAGCAATAGAGTCACGCTTCACTAAAGGCCATGTTCACACTGGATTTGATTGACTGAGTCTAGACCTGAGTTAGTCTCAGGCCTCACTGGTCTCTGACCTGTGGTTTGTGCAAAGTGAAAGAATGACACTTGTGATGTTATCATGAGGGGATTTCCACTGTGCTTCCTGGTTTCACATGGTTGCTCTTACTATGCCATCTTAACATTGGTTGTATTATTCTGTGCATGGGGGTGTGTCCATACCAGGCATGGTTGGAACACTTTATTCCTATGTTTATTTGTCTAGCTAGTTTACAGCAGTTCAATTTCAAATCTCAGCGGAGCTTCCTTAAGATGCAACGCCCAGGTGTTTTCAGTGAGGACTGCAATGTGGCGATCAATCCTAAAACCGGAGGTTACACACATTTTTATCCATTAGCTCACCTGGCATACCAAAATGAATCAATCATTTTTGGATGGATAATTTAATTATTTCTCATTTTAATTTGGGCCAAAGAAAGAAATCTTAAGCCTGATTGCACCATTAGTGTAGGTGCAGTACATCCACCTCATGTCGGGTCATAAGCCCAAAAAATTTTTTTACAGTTCATCTGTTTGATCCTCATGTCACCAGGCTGTACCAGCCAGGGGTTCCTGCTTCCAAAACGGGCACAGTGCAGGATTAAAAGCTTCACTGATGATCCCCGGGCCGCTGACTTTGCCCTTGACCAGACTACTGTGAAAAATGTCCTAAAACATAACCCAGCACGGCATTTCATTTCCTAAAGGAGTCAGTTAAAGACACACTGGAACAAACAGGAGAAAATTAGCCATGTGATGCCTCCTGTGTGAAACTGTAGTAAAATATGAATGCACAGTGGTTGTGACACCTAATATATGCTGATAAAACAGGTACACACTGCCTCAAAGTATTCCTCCCACTCTCAAATAGCAATGGATTTGAAAATTAAGAATTCAAGCAGTTATATAAAATTACTGACATTATATAAAAGGCTTTGAATAACAGGAAAGATGATTGCGGTCAGCAGCTGTGAAGTATATAATCTTTTTTCCTTAGGACATGAGACACGATTGTTTTTTCTTTTTTCCAGCTG